TCTCTCTCTCTCTCTCTCTCTCTCTCTCTCTCTCTCTCTCTCTCTCTCTCATATTTAGGATAGGGAGGACAGGGTGTACAGAATCTTATTCTGTAGATCGGACTTATAGTGAGCCTCCTGTTTACAGCCTCTCAAATGCTGGGATTACTGGCGCATATCACCACTCCTAGTCTCAATTGCCGTCTCAGCGTGCAGGTGCCCTGGGGGTGGGGCCAGAATGGCAGGCCTGGGCATCAAACTCCTGCTCCCTGCATCTGTCAAACACTTGAATCCACTGAGCTATTTGGCTGGCCTTTAGACCCACTCTCTCTACACTGAGCCACACCCTAGCCCGGAATATTTTTTCAATAAATAGATATGACAAGGAGTTTTATTCTAGACATGTACAAAATCTGATAGCAAGATAAACACATTTTTGTTAACACCAATTATGTAGTATGTTGCCTAGTGTGTGTCAATGTTATGTGACATATGTTGCTTTTAAAATTTTTTTCAGTACTAAGGATTAAACCAAGGGCCTTCACACTGAGCTGCATTCCCCAGCTCTTTAAAAAAAAAAAAAAAAGTTTTTTTTTTTTTTTCTTTTTTCTTGTGTGCTAGGAATTTAGCTCAGCAGCTGTGTTTGCTTGGCAAGCATGAGGTCCTAAGTTTGATTCACAGTACCAAAATAAACCTTTTTATTTGTTTGAAACAGGGTCTTGCTATTTAGTTCAGGCTGGCCTTTTAGATTCACTATGTAATCTAGGCTAGCTTCAAACTTTTAGTGATCCACTTGTCTCAGTCTCCTGAATGCTACAAGTGTGCACCACCAGCCCAGTATAATTTTTTTTTTTTGATACAGGATCTTGATAAATCATTATATTGCCCCTGTTGAGCTCAAATTTATAATTTTATGGCCTCATCCTCCCACAATGTTGGGATTGCAGGTATACACCATTGCTACTGTTTCAATATTAAAAATGTCCAGGGCTGGGGATATAGCTCAACAGCATAAGAACCTGCCTGGCAAGTGGAAGGCCCTGAGTTCAATTCCTTGTACACCCCTGCCTCATCCCCAAAATTCATACAACACATAGAACCTTGCACAGAACACTAGGATTGTGGAGTACAAAGTTTGCAAACCAGTGTTCCAGGTGGTACACATGAAAATATTCAGGTTTAAATAAGAAAATACCTTCTCCCAACTAGGTAAGTAATACAGTTTACTAATTTCCAATTTGATTTATAAGAACCAAAACTGTATCTTTGCTTTTAAGTATAGTAAGTATACTTTCATATTATAGTACTAATTTATTGATAGGAACTTAATTTTGTCAATGAGAACAAAAATTTCCTTACACCCTGTTTATATGTAAGAAGTAAACTAATTTTAGTTGGACGTGGTGGCACACTCCTGTAACTCTAGCACTTGGGAGACTGAGGCAGGAGGGTCATTGTGAGTTCAAGGACAGCCTGAGCTGCATAGCGAGACCCTGCATCAAAAAGAAAAGGTAAATTAAATTTTTCATAATGTCAACTTCTTTTCTTTTTTTAAATTTTTTCTTTTTAATTATTTATTTATTGGCTACAGGGTCTTAGCACACAGTTCATACTCATAGTAATCCCCCTGTTTCAGCCTCCCCAGCACTGGGATGACATGTGCCACAATGCCTGGTTTTGGGTCCAGCATGTCATGAAGTACCAGGGATCAAACTCCAGTCTTTGTGCTTTCCAGGCAGGCTTTTAGACTGTTGAGCTATCTTCCAAGGCCCAACTTCTGTATAACTAAAGATAATTATAATTTTGAAGTATAATGATTTTCTTATTTTTTTTTCAAATTTTATTTATTTGTGTGTGTGTGTGTGTGTGTGTGTGTGGCCAGCTCAGCCCACCAGGGGGCGGGGCTGGCTGGCATGTGGTGCTGGGGGATTGAACCGCGGTCCCTGTGCTTTGCTAAGCTTGTTCTAAGTGGGTGCTTTAGACCACTGAGCCATCTCACTAGCCCCAGTATAATGATTTTCTGTGGACTATAAGATATTATCTTAGTTGGTTGGTTTATTTATTTATTTATTTATTTATTTATTTATTTATTTTGTACTCGGGATCAAACTCAAGGCCTTGTGCTTGCCAGACAGGCACTTAAGCCACTGAGCTATCTCCCTGGCCCTATCTTGGTTATTCTAATAATTCTTACATGGAGAAAACAACATAGTTTAACTCATCATAGAATCCTGTCCAAAGAGTAAGTACACTTGAAGAGATTCCTGTGTTTTTCCTTCCTGTTTTTCTAAGTGTTACAGTCTCATGCTCCCATTTCCCTCTGACCTGCTTCCATTTCATTCTCTTCCACTAGCCTTCAGGAGATCTCATTTATGGGAAGAAATAAGAGCAAGTTCCTATTTTCCACAAGAAATTATTGTTATTATTATTTATTCGATACAGGTTCTTCTATGCAATTAAGACTCATAGTGATCTTCCTGTTTCAGCCTCCCTGGTGCTGGGATCACAGACATGCACCACCATGCCTGGTTTCGGGTAGCACAGTGCACCCAGGGTTGTGAGGCCAGCATGGCATGTGGTACCAGCGATCAAACCTGGGTCCTTGCGCTTGCCAGGCAAGTGCTTAGACCACTGAACTGTCTCCCAGCCCACAGGAAATTTTTTAAACATAATATAAATATCTAATATTAAAGATAATATGTATCTAATTGGGATCAAATGCTCTTGGTTTTGTACACTTATAAATGAGATAATAAGCATTCATTCATCTCTTCAGCCAGTTTGAAGGCCCTAAGTACATTAGGCCTTGAAGATTTCAGAAGTCAAAGTAGGCCCGCAGATTGTTTCCTGGACAACAAAACAGGCCTTCGCAGAACCTAGGGTTTTTACTCTATTTCATGAAAATTGATCAGTTTAAGAAAAGGAGGAGGGGCCGGGGAGATGGCTCAGTAGAATAAGTGCTTCCCTGGCAAGTGCAAAGGCCTGAGTTCAATCCCCAGTTCCGCAAAAAAAGAAAGAAAAGAAGGTAAACTGTGCTCATAATTTTTGACTTGTCCTCTAAGCAAAATGTTATATATTCAAGTTTATTTTCTTAGATGGCCTTTCACAAGTCCACTTCTTTTATCTGCTTTTAGAAAGAGTGAAAAGGAAAGGATGAGAGAGTACCGACGAGAACAAGAAGAAAGAGAAGAAAAATTAAAAATGAGGCCACTGCTATTTGAAAGAGTTTCTCAGGTTGTGTTTATTGGAATTTAAGAACCATTGTCAGCATTTTATCCTGTTTTGTTTTAACATCTTTAGCTTCCAAGTTCACAGCCCAGCTTTCTTATGTATCATATAGTTATTGAGAGATATTATTGCTTCTGTGACAGCTTCATCAAATCAACCAGTGAAGCGATTTTTCTTAAGATTTGAACGTGAACATTCATAATGAGGCACATAAGCATGATAAAGAACATGCTGATAATCCAGTTCTCAAAATATTAGTTTCACAACCTGTTTTTTTCTTAATGGCTGGTCTTTAAGTACCAATTTGACTATATATTAAAGTAAAGCTTCATGAAATAATTTGGAGATCTTTGAAGAATTAAAAAATGAAACAAATGACTAATTGAATCAGATTTATTTCTGCCAATTAAAAATCCTACGTATAATTACTAAAAAGACTTCTTTGTTATAGGAAAAACAAACTGGTTATATAGACAGTGAATCTTGACTTTTCTCATAAGTGTAGACTCATTTTTAGAATCTTTCCCTTAAAAGGAGGTTTATCAATTTCAGTTCATGTTCTCCTTTGATCCTGTAAGTGAAGAATTTGTATGGGTGACATTCCTTAACAACAGAAAATCACTGGAGGTTACAGCTATTGCATGTGAAGTTCAAACTGTTACAGTAGACAATAGACAGTTCTGGCACTGTGACAGATGGGCTTAGTTGCAGGATTGTCAGCTTGTCATGTCCATCACCAGGGATGATGGACATATGGTATGGGTGAATCTACACAATACAGTCACTCAAAGTTATGGGATCTTATTTATTTGGATATAATTTTATGTAATGGCTTTTTAAGGATGGACTATTATTTATTTATTTATTTATTTATTTATTTATTTATTTATGGCAGAACTGGGGATTGAACTCAGGCTCCTGTGCTTGCCAGGCAAGTACATATTCTACTGAGCCATCTCCCCGGCCCCCAAGGATGGATTATTTTTAAATCTCAGTTTCAACTTTATGGGGAAATTATTTTAAACTCCTCTATGTTGCATAGCATAGAATGATTAACTTTTTAGCTCAAAGAAGCTAATCTCTGTTTCCATTCTGCAAATTCCTCAATACCTACTTCACCCGCTAGCAGTACTAAGCATTAAATCCAGGGCCTCACACATGCTGTGCAAGTGCTTTGCCACTGTTGGGTATGGTGGCACATGCCTATAATCCTAGTACTTGGGAGGCTGAGACAGGAAGATCATTGTGAGTTTTAGACCAACTTGGGCTACAAAGTGAACACAGTGCTAGCCTGGACTGCATAACAAGACCCTGTCTCATAAAGAAAAAAAAAAAAAAAAGTACTCTCCCACTGACTTATAGTCCTGTTTGTTTGTACCAGGAATCAAACTCAGGACCTCGTGCTTGTTAGGCAGGCACTGTGCTGATGAGCTATCTCTCTAACCCTGTTTATTTATTTTACTAAGTTGTACAGGCTGGCATTGCACTTGTAGTCTTGATTTTGCCTTCTGAGTAGGATTATAGGCCTGTGCAAGCTCGTCTGCTCAGGCTGCATTTTTACAACCACTGCTCTAGTAATCTCTACCCAGATTTTTCCATATAAATCTTGCATTCATCTTCAGTCCACCAGGATCTTCCTGGAGGTTATAGTTTAGATGGCTGAGAGTTTTGTATTTCACTCCTAAAAGAGTTGGTCAGAAAGACCTGGCCAGATAGCTCACTGGACTAACACGCCTGCTTAGGCAGAGCACTGGGACTGAGGGTTCCATCCCCGGCGTGCTGTGCCAGCCCTGAGACTGGGTATGGTGGTGCACACCTGTAATCCTACTGTTTGGGAGGCTGAAAACAGGAAAATCACTATGAGTCTGATCTATGTAGTGAGACCCTGTAGACCCTGTACTAAATACATTGAAAAAAAAAAAAAAAAAAAAAAAAAAAGACCTGTCAGATATTTTGCTAAGTATTCTTGCCTGCTGGTGAAATGCAAGAGTAACAACTATTCCTATTTGAGTTATAAATTGACTAGTCCTTTCTACCTTCAGGTTTGCAAAGCCATCCATTACACCTTTCCCTTGCCTTTGATGTTCTGTCAAAATGTTAGCCTGTGCAGGCAATTAGTAACCTTTGGTAACAGTGACAGTCCTCTATTCTCACTGAGTTCATTCTTTCTCAGTGATATCATTTAGTGATACCAGTGTCACTATGCAATAAGGTAGGTGCCCCATATTACAGAAGAAACTGAAGTTCAACGGAAGTAATTGATAAGTTTATAGTTAGTAAATGATAGAACTAGAGGTGGAACCCAAGTTGATTTGCTTTCAGTCGCTTAACCCTATTGTCCTGATTCCTTAAAGGTAAATTCACAATCTTCCCCTGGCCTGTCTGTATGCATATTCCTCTGTGAGCCCTGCTGGCGTCTCCGTCTCTCTCTGCATTCCTCCTGTGCACTTGTTTCTCCCTGTATACCCTTCACTTGCAGGCCACACCACACCACTAGACTACACTTTCAAACCTGAAGTCTTTGTATTGTTTTCTAGATACACTTAGAGTCTATTTTTACCTTACTCCTACTCACTGAAATCAGTGTACTACAGTTAGAAACAATGGAGCTGGGGAAAACATTCCCTTCCATCCATTTAATATTAAACAGCATGCTATGGCTGTTCTTCCTGCTACTGTCCTAAGAAAGGTAGAAAATAAAATAACAGTAACCCAGGAGGTCTCTGGTACTCTGGGCAGGAGCACCTGTGTATTATGTTTCCTCGTCCAACTTTTGGTACCCTTCACCCTCCTCCTACGTTGGGTCAGGCAAGCAGTTAAGATCAGAGTGAATTCCAGGACAAGGTGGGTTTTTTTTTTTTTTTTTTTATTTTAGGGAAGGATCGGTGTTCAGGGTCTCACTACTAGATTGGACTCATAGTGATCTGCCTGTTTACAGCCTCCCAAGTGCTGGGATTACAGGCCCACCCCACCATGCCCAGTCTCAATCTCACAGGGCACCCCGGGGGCTGGGTTGGCACAGCAAGCCAGGGATGGAACCCTGGTCCCTGCGTCCCTGTGTCTGCTTAAGCAGGCGCTTTAATTCGCTAAGCTATCTGGCCAGCCCTAGTTTAGTTTTTTTTTTTTTTTTTTTTTTTTGTAGTATACTGTTTTTCCCCCCATAATTTTATTGATAAACAAATAGCAGTGAGACAGTTTCAAATCAAATTGGTATGACAGTTTCAATAATTAACACATTGCATACATTCTTCCTAGTGGTTAATTGCTGTACAAGATGCAGACATTATATCCTGTCTACAAACAGCATTAGAACAAATCACTCTATTCATTAAGAGAATGTAACTGTATATCTATCCTGACCACTTTGAATACACAGATACAAAATGGACATTCATCTGTATACCCTTTTTTTGTTAAGTTCCCCTAGTTTAGTTTTATATTTGTTATTTCTTCTCTCTCTCTTTTGGCCATCATATATGATGTTCCCTTTACTTAAAATTCTTTTTTTCCAAACTGTTCCTAAATCATGTGAGAGCTTGTTACAAGGTAAGTACTCTGTTTATGTAAAATAAATGAAAGATTTACCACAAACTCAGCTTATCCTTTCTGTAAGAAACAAAGGTAATCCTTAGGAGTCATTGATAGGAAAAGAAAATAACCACACGACTGTTTTAACTGTTCCTTTTATTTCAGTCTTTCCAGTTCTTCTGCATGGTGAAATGCATAGGAGAAGTACTTCTTGCAGTTAGAAGTAGTTATGCATTGTTTAGCTTGATGTAATTTTAAAAGAGAATTCTGTGTACAGAGTGGTTGTGGCAGTGAATCACCATTATTTTATGTGGTTTTTTAAAAATCGAAATTAATGCTTTTTTTCCTTGAAGTCTGTTCTGCTGTGATGGTTTCTGCTAACAGCTGTTATTCAAAAATACTCACAACTTTGTGCCTTGCTCATTTATAAGTTAATTGTGGAATCCTAGCTGTCAAGTTACTGTAGCAGAATATGCCTGTGACTCATTATAGAGCAAACCATATCAGCCTGTTTCTTGGAAATGAGGGTTTATTTACTAAGTAGATAATAAATTGAATTATAAACCAACTTCAAATGAAAGCTTACTAGCACCAACTTTGCTAGTATCTTTTTAATGTCTTTTACAGTTAGTTTGCTTAGGTAATATAATATTCTTGATGTATTCAGTTAGGTTTGGGCTTTCTTTTCTTCTATGGTCTTTGAGGCATAGTTCTTATTTTTCACTCCAGCCTACCTTTTGGTACACCAAGGCTTACCTGTTGCCATTTATACTAGAGAGAGAGAGAGAGAGAGAGAGAGAGAGAGAGAGAGAGAGAGAGAGAGAGAGAAAAGAAAAGAAAAGAAGAGAAAACCCTGTTAACTATTTATTATTCATAGTGGTTGCATTTTAGCAGGGGTGCGAGTGCTTTTTTTTTCCAGTTTCCCAGGTAATCATGAAATGCACTAGTGGTAATTTTATGCATTGTAATCAGTGCTTACTGATTTGGTTTCTCCTATTTAATACTAGACTCCATGGGGCTTTATTGTGCTAAAATCCTTGGGCAGTGCTAATATCTGACCATTGCATTGCCGATGTCAGGCTTTGGGCCACCTTCAAACCTCCAGAATGACCGCTGTCACTTAGAGAACAGTGTGATAGAGTGGAAAAGGCAACAAAAGGTCAAGAGACTTGAGACTTGATACTGTTACGTTTGTAACTTCTGGGCGGGGGGTGGGGTGAATCTTGATTTTTAAACTTTAAAAAAAAATTTTTTTTAGGAGAATAAAAAATAGTAACAAACAAACAAACAAACATTAGAAGCAATACAGAGGGGCCAAGAGATAGCTCAGCGGCACAGTGCCTGACTGGCAAGTGCAAGGTCATGAGTTTGATTCCTAGTACCACACACACACACACACACACACAAAAGAATAGAAAAGAAACAATAGAGAATTTCACTAAACAAAATGATAGGAATTCAACAATGGTTGCTATATTGTATATTGCTATCTTTAAGTTAGTTGTTCAGGTTACCAGATATAAGCATGTAAAATTGGTCAAAAATATTAAAAAGAAAAAAAATTTAAGCCTTAACTCTTCCTTTCAATAGAAAAATAGAAATCAGCAATACAGTTATCCATGCTATATCTTTTCTTTTCCTTTCTTTCTTTTTTCTTTTTCTTTTTCTTTCTTTTTTTTTTTTTTTTTTTTTTT